TTTTTTTTTTGTTTTTTACTTTCTTGGTAGATATTGATCACTATAACCCATATAAACAAAAAATGTTTATGTCCCTCTCCACTTTTTTTTTTTTTTTTATTACTGAAAGAGTAAAGAGTTCTTGAGTCCACAAATGAAAAACCACTCTGGATTTTCCTCAGCTATAATCAGTCCATTTCTTGCTATGACAGAAGGAGCCAGTGTTAGAGAATTCCAAGCACCTATTTAAGTCCCTGGCTGGGCCAAGCTTTTGGCCTTTGGTAAATTCCAGCAGATACCACTGCCACCAGAAGGGTATTGTCCACAGGAAACTAAAACACACAAAAAAGCCAGACCTAAAGCCAGAGAACTTGCTTTGGATTTGGACTGGAACATCAAGGTTGCAGACTTTGGCATCAGCGATGAGTTTGCCTTTGGAAACAAGCTAGACACTTTCTGTTGCAGTCCCCGTATGCTGCCCTGGAACTCTCCAAGGCCAAAAATACCATGGCCTCACAGTGCATGCGTGGAGCTTGGGAGGCACTGGGTCCCTGCCTTTTAACAGACACAATTTTTGCAGAGCTGCCAAAGCAGGTGTTGAGAGAAATACAGCACATTCTCTTTTACATGTCTGTGGAGTATGGAAACCTCAAGAAATTCTTGATCCTCAACCCCAGAGAGAGAGAGGCACTTGAGAGGAAATCTTTAGCGACCCATGGATAAATGTGGGCCATGAGGAGTAACTGAAACTTTACATCAGATAGCCATTCCTGACTACAAGGACCCCTGGCACGGTGACTTGATGCTGTCCATGGGCTGTGCATGGAAGGAATGTTGGACTCATTAATGGGCTGCTAGACACTTCAGCTGGAGGACCGTAGCATCACTGGGAAGCCTCTGCCTTAGCTATCCCCCTAACTGCTGCAGTCTTCCTCCATCTTCCCAGGCAAAGCCTAGGGACTCTCTTAGCCCAAAGCAGCAAGCCTGCCATTTCCACCCTTATTTTGTTCTTTAACACAGAAATTCAACAGCTTGAGGAGGCAAGGAGTCAGGCCAGAAGGCTAGCAGAACAATAGAACTGCCTGCCAGTACCTCATTGGCCTGGAGATGAAGACCACCATCATCTCCCCCAATCCTCAGCACAGCTCCTGGTGTGGCCCTGGGGCCTCCCCTTCACCCCATAGCTCTAGTAGCGGTGGTGGAGTCCCAGACAGAACCAGCTGCCCCCAAGGTGTATTCTCCAAAGGAAACTCCCTCCACACTAGACAGCTTTGGTTGAGACCAGCAGAATTTGCTGGAAGGTTTGACCCCAGCCTCTTCCTCTAGCAAAAGTCAGGGCCATCAGGAGGCCTCTGGGAGGTTCCTTATATTGTGTTTCAGGTCAGCTGGAAAGATCTGGCATGTAGCTGGAATGTGGGTCTTCAAGCCATACTCCTTGCACTTCACATGGAGCAGGAAGATCTGAGCTCATGGAGCCCAAGCACTTGGTGTAGGAAGTCAGCCAGATGTAGGACGCAAATAGCTGAGGATGAGAGCAGTGACACAGGCACAGGCTGCTGCTTTCTGTGCACAGCACACTCAGCCCAGAGGACTTTGTGCGGGGGAGGAGAGAGGTTGCAGACTGCCTTGTTCTCTCCATGGGTTCAAATTAAGAGGCTGCCCGGCACCTCATGGCATTCAAACCCATCATGGACAAAAGAGTTGCTGGGCTTAAGTTTAAAGCACTGCCAGGAGTCTCCTGGGGGCTAAGAGGGAAGGTGGCAGGTCCTAGCTGTAGGCCAGTCCCTGTGCCCTGACCCAGGTGAAACTTCAGATACCAGGCTATTTTTTCTGGGGCACTTCTCCCTCCCCTGCTCTCCTGTCTTCTGTGTTTGTGGAGAGGGGAGACTTTGGGAGGTGACTACTGATTTGAGTGGTTCTCCTTTATGTTTGTCTCAGAGAACACAGGGATGTCACTTCCCTTGTTGGCTTGATAACAATGATGTTAACACTGACAATGACAATAGCATTTACTGTTGGTCAGAGAATTTCTATACCATTCCAGTTCATTTTAAACACACATGCCCATTTAACAGATTGAGAAATGGCACTGGAGGAGGGTGAGTGGTCTGTTGAGAGTCCCAGAGCTTCTGAGTGCAGAGCTCATCTGTGAGCGTGTGATCCCACCCCAGCCTCCCTTAGTGCAGGCCTCTGGGCCTCTAGAGCCCTGCTGTTGGCATCCTTTCGGAGTTGGTTATATTATGTCTCTTAAATGGATAATTCAGAGTCATACGAGGGATGAGACAGTGAACGGTTTGTATGTCACTTTTTAGGGCTCCTTATGAAGTAATTTGTTTGCAGTCTCCTAATTCCTTCTCTCCATGAGCAGTTCACAGTCCTGAAGTACAAAGGCTGCCTGGGGACTGTGAAAGGAAAATGAAGGTTCCAGAGTGCTGGGAACATTGAGAGTGTATGGAACCATATTTAGTTGGCAGGATGGAGCCTTGCAGGCCCTTTCTTTGAGTGCACAAGTTGACCCCATGATGTTGCAGCTCTAGGAGGAGCTAACCTGGAGTTAACCCAGAGGGTGGGGCCTGGCAGAGTGGCCTCTCTGTGCTCCCCTGCCTCATGTCAAAATCTTATGTGGAGTGATGCTTCGGGACAAACATCTCTTGCATATTTAAAATTTACTTATTAAACTGGAAGAGTCCCTTTCCCTCTCCCAATCCATTTCTATTAATGTATAAGTTAATTCATCCAAGTAGTTGATATTTCAACCCCAGAGGAGATGTTAGGAGCTGGGTTTGTACATAATGTATAAGAAGTATTTGTCAAACAAATGTGTCTATTGGGCAGGTATTATGTGCTTGCATGGTGCTAGAGCTAGAAAGATTGAGTAAAATATACTTACCCTTGAGGAACAAACATTCATACTGCTTGGAGATTCATTTGTAAGTATTTTTTTGGCACTTTTATGTGCCTAGCACCAAGCAGATAATAAAGAAGTCTGCTGTCCGAATCCATGGGTTCCACATCCACAGATCCAACCAACCATGGATAGAAAATATTTGAAAAAATCAAACAGTGCAACAATAAAAAATAGTACAACTAGAAAACCAATACAGTATAACAACTATTTACATAGACATAGAATTTAGATTGTATTAGGTGCTATAAGTAAACTAGAGGTGATTTAAAGTATGCAGAGGATGTGGATGGGTTATATGCAAATATTATGCCCTTTTATGTAAGGAACTTGAGCATTGCAGATTTTGGTATCATTGGGATGTCCTGGAACCAGTTCCTCACAGATACTAAGAGACCACTGATTGTCTTTACCTTTACTTGTTGAATGGTGTAGATAAGTACAGAGGGGCAATTAATCTCGCCTGGGAGAAAGTGAGGTGAGGGAAGGTGAGGCTTCCTACAGAAAGTGACAACTGAGTGGGTGGTTGGTGCAAGTTAGCTGGCTAAGGAAGAGCTTGGGACAGGCCTTCAGAGACCTGGCACTGAGGATGACAGCAGAGTGCACATTTCAACAGTGAGCACAGGGCTGTGTGGGTGGTGAAAAGAGCAGTCCTTTCCACCTGGTGGAAAGATAGGGCAGAATAATTAAGTTCCTGAAGCTGGAGGCCTGAGGCAGAAATCATGCTTTACCTACTGTACTCGGTTGCCTGGAGCATACACCCTAATCAAAAAGATCTCAGATACACAAAATCAACACTGTTCAGAAGATGTTCTGTAGGATACAAGCTGCCTGGGATATTAATAAATGCCTTTGATAAGTAGGTCCCAAGGTCAGATTGGTTTGGAAAATACAGATGTCCATTGTGAGTATTAAAAAGGAGAAAATACAATTTTCCAGAACATCGGGGCAGCTTTTCATCTGATCATTTGTAGAAACCGGTGCTGAAAGAAAACCTTGGAAAATGCTATATTAGTACTCAATGTGACCTGGATGCTCCTTGGCTGTTCTAGCAGGTCTGAAACTCCCTGAAGATGCATTAATGATGGGGAAATGCAAAAATAGAGGGTGAAATAAGTTGTCCAGTTGACTGGCTTACAACAGGGACAGTGAGGGGGACAGCGTGGGGGCTGCAGGAGACATGACGGAGGTGTGGTGTGGGTAAGTCTCCCCTGTCCTGTGAATGAGAAGAACATGGAGCATGATCAAGAGCAAAAAAATCTACCCTCAGATGTATCATATTCAAACTGCAAGAAATGAGAAACAAAGAGAAACTCTTGAAAGAAGCCTGAGGAAAAAACTAGGGGAGCAAGGATGAGAATTACATGAGATTTTTCTTCAGGAACCATACATGAAAGGATAGAGTAGAGTGAAATATTTAAATTGTGTAAGTTAAGGTTCTCTAGAGAAACAGAACCAGTAGAATATAGAAAGATAGATAGATGGGAGAGGATTTATTAGGGGAGTTGGCTTAGGTGATTGTGGAAGCTGAGGAGTCCCAGTGCTATCTGCATGCTGGAGAACCTTAGAAGCCAGTAGCATGCTGGGTCTAAGTCTGAAAGCCTCAGAACCTGGGGGGCTGCTGATGCAGAGTCTTGGAGTCCAATGCCAGAGAAGACTGGGAGTTCTGATATCCCAGGGCAGGAGAAGGTGGGTGTTCCTGCTCTAGAAGAGAGAGAACTCACATTTTCTCTGTCATTTTCTTCTATTGGGGCCCTCAACCAATTGGATGGTACCTTCTTGCAACAGGTAAGGGCAGATTGCCCTTACTTATTCAATCTACTGATTCAAATGCCAGTCTCTTCCCAAAACACCTTCACAGACACACTCAGAAATAATGCTAGACTGGGCACAGTGGCTCACACCTCTAATCAGCACTCTGGGAGGCCAAGGTGGGTGGATTGCTTGAGGCCAGGAGTTCAAGACCAGTATGAGCAAGAGCGAGACCTTGTCTCAATAAGAAATAGAAAAATTAGTGGGGCATGATGGTGCATGCCTGTAGTCCCAGTGACTTGGGAGACTGAGGCAGGAGGATCACTTGAGTCCAGGAGTTTGAGTTTGCAGTGAGCTATGATGACATCACTACACTCTAGCCAGGGTGACAAAGTGAGACCTTGTTTCCATAAAAAAAAAAAGCTTTTACCAGTTATCTGGATATCTCTTATTCCAGTCAAGTTGACACACCTGAAATTAACCATTGTACCCATCACCATCAAATTTTGTATACCAATTATCCTTCAAAAGGGAAAGAGAAATACTTTCTCAGACAAACAAAAATTGAGGGAATTTGTCACCTGTAAACCATCTATGCAGGAAACACTAAAAGAAATTCTTCAAAAACAGCAATAGAACAAGTTATAATGATTTAGGTCAGAAACTCAGATCTGCATAAAGAAAAGAAGATCGTTGTAGAATAATAAATGAAGGTAAAATACAATTCTTAGTTTTTTTAATTAATTGATCTGACAAAATAGTCTGTTCAAAATAATAACAGCAAAAAGTATTAGGTGATTATAGCTGATTGATAAGTAAGATGAATGACAGTAGTAGTATAATGATGGGGAGGAGAAAGTGGGAATACTGTTATAAGGTTCTTCCACTACCCATGAAGTGGGATAGTGTTGTTTGAAAGTGAACTTGGTTTAGTTATAAGTGTATATTGCAAACTCTAGGATAACCACTGGAAGAAAGTTGGGAAAAAAACGCATAGTTGATATGCTAAGAGAGGAGGAAAATGGGATTTTTAAGGCAGTGAAAGTATTTTGTGTGATGCTGTGATGGCAGATACATGTAAGTATGAGTTATACATTTGCCAAAACTTAGAGTATATAATACAAAGAGCCCTGATGTAAATCGAAAATTATGGGAAATTAGTAATGTACCTATATTGCCTCTTCAGTTGTAAACAATGTACTGCACTGATGCAAGGTACTAATAACAGAGGAAACTTGGGGGAAGGCTAGTGGTGAAGGGGCATATGAGAACTCTCTCTACTTCTGACTCATTTTTTTCTGTAAACCTAATAAAACTCAAAGAAGAAAAAAAGGGGAAAAAATGTGTAAAGTGCCAAAACAAAACAGCAGAGCACCAAATTTCTTAATTCTATACAATAATATGATTTAATACACCTTAATTTTCTGAAAGGGATGCCGAAACAGTTTTTGAAATTTCCATTGAAAGCGAAAGTAACATTTGCATCACTTAGTTTTGCATTCATACGACTTCGAGGATGCAGATGCCTTTATGTATGCTCACCAGTGGTTACGACGTTCCCTCCTGAAAATGTGTCATGTGAGAATGGTGTCGGGAGAGAGGTTGACCTGCCATCACCTATCAGGGATTGGTGTACTTTTTCTTTTTCTGCTACTACTGTAAGGTGACAAGTATAGAAACTTCAGTCTTTTTTTAAGGTGAGCATACTGCTGTAGATATAGGAAGTGCTCAGTAATATTTGTGAACTGCTGAATGCTTGTAGATACCAGAAGCAAAGAATATAATTCTATACCAATTGTAAATAGAATTAAAGATGTAGAATTCCTAAATAAAATGTTAGCAAATCAAATCTAGAAATGTTTAAGGAACTAGAAAATGGAACCAAGTAATGCTTATTTCTGTAATATAGACTAATTCAATAATTGGACATTACGTCACTTTGCTATGTTAATAGATGAAAAAAGCATCATCTTGAAAGATGCCAAAAACCAATTGTATAAAATTTGATATCCATTCCTAATTTTAAAAATATAATCCCGATAAACAAAGAGAAATATTTTGTGTCATCATAAAGTACCAACTTAATGTTAAGGCATATATTCTCAACCAGGAGAATAATTGAAAATTAGTTCTTCAGGGGTCAAAAATCTTAATGTATAAAGATATGCATATAGTACATAATAAAGTTATACAATGTATTTATGGTATTAAAATTTCATGGGTGGTGATTAGGAAAATAAAAACCTGAGAAGACTTTTCAGGGGCCACTAATGACAAACAGTTTGGGAAACATTGCTCTACAGGATTTCCCATTAGTAACAAGACAAAGATGCTTGCTAAATACTATTATTATTCAAAGGTGTTTTGGAAGTTACAGCAAATGCAGTAAAGCAGTTAAAATAAATGATACATAAACATTAAAGAGTAAGAGCCAAAATTGTAGTATATGAAGGTAGTAAGATTTTCTATGTAAAAACTATAAAAGATCAATTGAAAAATGATTTCAAGTGAGAAAAGCTTATTGAATGGACTGATTTCAAGATAATGTGTTACATGAACTTCCCTTGTCAACAGTGCTGAACAATTTACTGACAGTCATAAAAAATGATTTAAGTGGGAAGAGCCAATGTAAAAATATCCAGAAATTATCTAGCAATTTAGACATTTCATACAATTTAGCATTTCGTAGCAATTTAGACATTTCATACAATTCATAAATTGATTTAACAAATGTGTGTTGAGCATCAGTTATATGCCAGATACATTTCTAAATGCTGGGTGTACAGGAGTGTATGGAACAGATAGAAACACCTTCTCTCCTGACAGTTACATTCTGGTGGCTAGAGACAGACAATAAACAACCAAGTCTAAGTATGGTATGTCAAGGTAGTGGTAATAATTTCCATAGATTTCCAGGGGCATTATTTTTAGAATCTGACAAAATATTTTAAAGTTCATCTGGAACAATACCTGTGAGAGAATGACTAAGAGAACTTGTGAATGATTGTCCTATCAGGTATTTAAATATAATACAGAAATTAAATCACTGTTACAGGTGCAAGATAGGGCAGTGGGACAAACTACAGGGTTTCCAGAAACAGACTCAGGCAAAAATGGGAAATATTGTTGAAGATAAAAGTGACAGTTCAGATCAGTGGAGAAAAGTGGACTGTTGAGTGAAATGGTAGTGTGTGTCAACTAGTTATTCAGTACTCCAAAATGGATTCCATGAGTCAAATAATTACATTAATACAAACATAACATTAACGTACAAGAAACATGACTTTGAAACATGACCCTTGAAGTACCAATAAAAGGTCAATAGTTTTGACATTAAAAGATTCAGTATTTCCTAAGAGCAAAGAGCACCATAAACAATGTGAAAAGTCAAATGATAAACTGGGAAGATATTTAACAGTATATGTAATGGACAAAGCGTTAAATGTTCTTGCTAGAGATGTTAAAATCAAGAAAAATAAACCCAATAAAAAGATGCAAAGACCATGAAAATGGAATTTACACATAATGCAGATTGAAACCATTTATTTTATTTTGCCTATCGGATTGCTACAAATAAAGATTACTAATACCCAGTGTTGCTGGTGGCTGGGAATGTTGATGCAGCTTTCCGCAGGCCAGTTTGGTGATACGTACAAGGATTTTAAATGTGCATTCTTTGACCACCACTTCTTTGAATTCAATGCAAGGAAATAGTTGGGTCAATGGGCAAAAGTATGGTGTATAAAAGTGTTCGTAGTTATGTTCAAAATAGCAAAAACTTAGAAGTCATCTAAATGTCAATTGTGTCATTATTAAATAATTATACATTCATACAGTGGAAAACCAAGCAGCCATGAAAATGATGTAGATTTGTTTGTATTTACCAACATGAAAGATGTCCATTATACAGGGTGTCCAAAAGTTGCCATACATAGGGAAAATGGGAAATTGTAGCTTTATTTACTAAATATTCATTACAAAATTTTTCCTTTGTATGAAGACTTTTGGGATACCCTGCATAATATATGTGTAAAAATCAGGTTGTAAAACGTATGCCTAGTATGCTACAATTTTATAAAACACATGCCACTATATCTGCATGTATGTTCCTGATTAAAGAAGACATTATCAGTGTATATACCAAAGAGACTGTAAGTGGTTAGTTACGAGTGATGATTTTGTCTTCATACTGTTTAGAATATTCATAAGTTTCTGCAATGGTTTAATGCCTATCCTTTTTATAACCAGAGTGGAAACAGTGAAACCTTTTTAAGAGAGAGGTGGAGGGAAGGTGAGAATAGGGGTGTAGGCAGTCTTTCTTGGCCCCAGGCAGAGGCGGGCCTGAAGGCCCTGGAAGCCAGTTCTGCTGGGGCCAGAGAGAGGGTGGAGAGGGCAGCATCGCCTGAACTGGAAGAGTGTGTGTCTTGCGTTTTCTTCCCTGGGATGGCGCCGGAGCTGCCATTGTCGCATGCCAAGATCACCAGCAAGGGCTTCCTGCAGCTCTTCATCCACACCAGCAAGGCTGGCGGAGGTTTGTGCGCCCCGCTGTGCGCGCTCTGCTGTGCAGGCAGCTGTGCTTGGCGCCACGGGTTCTGGGGGCCAGGCGAGGCAGGGAGCCTTCTGCCAGTTTCCTGTGGAAGGTCTTTCGAAAGAGCTCAGTGAGATTTGCCTGAAGCCGACTTGGGAGCACGGGGATGCGCCCCCCTGGAGCTCCAACTTCAGGGGTTGGCCACCCTGTGCTGGCATCTCGCTGGTCACACTCGTGGCAGTGCACGACCTGTCTGGGGGGGTGCTTCCCAAAAGACTGTGGCAAGACTGCCCGGAGCCCAGTGTCCGAGCCTCTGATGTGAGTGTTTATCTGCCAGCTTTGAAGACCCTGAAGAGCATTGTGGAAAGGACGGCAAACCTGGGTGATCACGTGCTGGTGGAAACAAATCTAAGTGGCCAAATGAACTTTAGTTTAGAAGCTGATGTTGTGCGTATTAAAAGTTATTTTAAAAATCTTGGAAATCCTCCAAAGTCTGCTCTAGGTATGCCTCAAAACCAAAACTGGGAGAACATGGTGCAAGTGTGGGTAGATAATAGGAAGCTTCTGCAGTTTTTCCAGGGACAGCAAATAAACCCTACAACGGCCTTATGTAATATTTTCAGCAAAACTCTTCTTCATCTTGTTTTGGTTCATGAAGCTCTCTCTCTTCAGTATTTCATTCCTGCTTCATAAAAATTCAGCCAACATGGATTTTTTTGTTAGCTTATGATCTTTTCAAAACTGAAAAAGACCGTGAGTTAATTGGGTTGAAAGTTTGTACCCTTGCTAACTTATGCAGGGCGTGTATTTTGTTGAGCCTTTATTCCTTTGTAAAAATTATATTAAAACATCATTGGTAAAGTAGTTGGATAGTTCATCTTTTTGTTTATAGGCTTTATTAATTTTTTTTCATGCTGCTTAAGATTTTAACAAGATTATTTTCAACTCCTTTTTTGGGAAAAAGAATTATAACTAAAAAATATCATCAAATACTGAAACAATTGCATTTGTATTTTATTATAAAATGCTACTATGTAAAGTGGGAAATTTCTCCTTTTAAAATAGATAAAAACATTTTCTGATAGGCCTTTTCTTAATTTAGAGAGCTTAGTATATCTGAAAGATGTAAAGTATTTATTTAGCATTTCTATACATTGCACATTCTTTGTTAAGCTGTGTGTGTTTCCTCAAAGGACATAATAAGGAATATATAAGAGTACATAGTTTTAGACTTACCATCTACAAGGTTTGAACTGGTTATTTATTAGGTTCATTTTCACATGTATCATATTCACATAAGGAGTCAAGGAAATACAGGCACACCTTGGAGATACTGTGGGTTCAGTTCCAGACCACTGCAGTAAAGCAAATATTTCTATAAAGCTAGTCACACATATTTTGGTTTCCCAGTACATATAAAAGTTATGTTTGCACTATACTATAGTCTGTCAAGTGCGGAATAGCATTATGGTTAACAAAAATGTATACATTCTCATTAAAAAATACTGCCAAAAAATGCTAATGATCATTGGAGCCCTCAGTGAGTGTTGGTGGAGGGGTCATGCCTCACTTTGGTGAATGCTGACTGATCAGGGTGGCTGTGGCAGCTCTTAAAATAAGACAGCCACTCAGTTGCTGCTCAGTTGACTCTTCCTTTCTGAAAGATTGCTCTGTAGCATGGGATGTTGTGGGTATTTTACTCACAGAAGAACTTATTTTGAAATGGAGTCAATCCTCTCAAACTCTGCTTTGTCAACCCAATTTATATAATGTTCTAAATTCTTTGTTGTTACTTCACCGGTGTTCATAGCATCTTCACCAAGAGTAGATTCCATCTCAAGAAACCACTCTTTGCTCAACCCTAAGAAGCAACTCATCATCTGTTCAAATTTGATCATGAGATTGTAGCAATTCAGTGACATCTTCATGCTCTACTTCTAATTCTACTTCTCTTGCTATTTCTACCACTTCTGCAGTTACTTCCTCCACTGAAAGCTTGAACCCCTCAGCGTCATCCGTGAGAGTTGAAAATCAACTTCCAAAACCCTGTTAATGTTGATATTTTGACTTCCCATGAATCGCAAACGTTATTGATGGTATCTAGAATATCAAATCCTTTCCCCATATCAGAGGAATCACTATGGAAGATATACCCATATGAAATGTATTTCTGAAGTAATAAGATTTGAAAGCCTGAATTACTCCTTGATCCATGGGCTGCAGAATAGATGTTGTGTTAGCAGGCATCAAAACAACATTATTTCATTGTGTATCTCTGAGTTCTTGGATAACCAGGTGCGTTGTTAATGAACAGTAATATTTTGAAAGAAATCTTTTTTCTGAGCAGTAGGTTTCAATAGTGGGTGTAAAATATTCAGTAAACATGTTGTAAACAGATGCGCTGTCCTCCAGGCTTTTTTTTTTTTTTTTTTTTTTTTTTTTTCCATTTCTAGAGCACAGAAAGAGATTTAGCATAATTCTTAAGGGCCCTAGGATTTTCAGAAAGGCAAATCAACATTGGCTTCACCTTAATGTTACCAGCTGTATTAACCTCTAATAAGAGAGTCAGCCTGTCATTTGAAGCTTTGAAGCCAGGCATTGCCTTTTTCTCTAGCTGTGAAAGTTCTAATTAGCATCTTCTTCCAATAGAGGCCTGTTTTGTCTACACTGAAAATCTTTTGTGTAGTGTCACCACCTTCACTAATGATTTTCCATCCTTTGGATGATTTGTTACAGCTTCTACATCAGCACTTGCTGTTTCATCTTGCACTTTTATGTTATAGAAACAGCTTCTTTCCATAAACTTTGTGGATCATCCTCTGCTAACTTTGACCTTTTCTTCTGCAGCTTCCTCACCTCTCTTAGCCTTCACAGAATTGAAGAGTTAGAGCCTTGTTCTGGATTAGGCGCTGGCTTAAGGGAATGTTGTGGTTGGTTTGATTGTCCATCCAGATCACTCAAACTTTCTCGAGTAGCACTTTTAATGTTTTCAGGAGCTTTTCCTTTGCATTTACAGTTTGGCTAACTGTTTGGTACAAGAGGCCTATCTGGACATTTGACATGCCTTTCTCACTGAGCTTAGTTATTTCTAGCTTTTGATTGAAAGATGTGTGACTCTTCCTTAGGATTATTAATTGGCCTAATTTTAATATTGTTTGCTGTGTCTCAGGGAATAGGGAGGTCCGAGGAGCAGGTGAGAGATGGGAATGGCAGGTGGGTGAAGCAGTCAGCACCCATTACTGACCAAGTTCACTGTCTTATAGCTGTCTTATATGGGTGTGGTTTGTGGTGCCCAACACAATTACAATAGTGACATCAAAGATACCTGATCACAGGTCACTATAACAGATACAATAATAATGAAAAAATTTGAGACAATGCAAGAATTGCCAAAATGTGACACAAGGATGTGAAGTGAGCACATGCTGTTGGAAAAATGATGTCAATAGACTTGTTGGACGCAGGGTTGCCAAAAACCTTCAGTTTGTAAAAACTGTAATATCTGTGAAGTGCAATAAAACAAAGGGCAATAAAAGGAGATATTATATAGCTAAATTTAGGTTGATAAAAATGTTACTTAATGGGTACTTTTTGGATAATCTAGGTTTCCATTCCCCCTCCCCCCAGTATTCCATTCCTCCACTTAGAAAATAAATCTTAATCTCATTATTTTGAGAAAAAGGATGTGTAGATGTACCAAAGGATGGTACAGTGATGAACAATCTCAGGAAGAAAAGTAGTTCGTTTTCTTTTATATCAAATTTTTGGTTTAATTTTTTAATGGCGTGTGCAGTAAGATAAGCCATTAACTTGAAAACCTTTATATTTGCATTCCCAGTAAATTCTCATAACTACTTTTTTATCAGTAATGAATAATTTCCTACTAGATTTGGTGATAAAACACTTAAACTTGTTAATTTATTTTGTTTTGCTGACTTTTAAATTCCATCTGTGGTGTTATGGAAAGAACACACGAACATTGGACCTCCTACACAAGTCACTTGAACTCTCTGGCTTGTTAAGATCTTTCAGTTTGAATAGATTCTGACTTAATACTATTAAAATTATAATATGGCAAGATTAAACAGTTGTTTTCAAAAGTATTTTAAACGTAGCCTTTTAAAATTATTAATGAATAACCACTTTGGAGCTACTGTTTAAGCTTTGTGGACCTATTTACTAACTTGTGAGTTACATATAAAAATGTATGCATATTTTGTTTGGTGAATATTTTCAAAGTGTTTTGCAAAGATTTTTAAAAAGATATTTTGTGATTCATTTTATAAATCTTTTGCTCTCAAAGACTTTAAAGACTTTAAATGCAAGATAAATATGGAAAATGCATGCCTTATCACACTGAGGAAATTATCAGATCTGTAGGTTTTGTTTTTGTAATATAACACAAAATGCCTTATCATGTTTGTTTTAAGCCTCTCTTCCAAATTTTTTGTTTTTGTTTTTAAATGAAAAATTTCAAGCTATAGGACAAGAATTTTTACCTGTTGTATCCTTTCTCCTCGTCCTCTTTCTCCTAGTCATCTGTCTCTAGTTTTGTTTCTTCCTTTTTATTTATTATAAAATGAGGGGAAATGAAAAATCGTATGGTTTGTTTTGGAACATAAATAATTGTGCAGTTTCATCTTTGTGAATTATTACTATGGTTTACTTTTAGTAATTCATTAACAAAGATTATCTGTCAGAAGTTTTATAGCTTAATTTTTGTAGTAAACTTTTGAAAATGAGAAGGATAATTTATTCCTCTAGTTAGATTATTCACTAATCTGTAGATAATATTGCTTATGATAGTAAAGAAAAATCAGGCTATGCAGATGTCTTAATTGAGAATCTTCTAATGATAGAGTAGAAACATTCTATAATAAATATAGAAATTTTACAATGAATAACATGCTTTTATTATAGTTTTTAGTTGTGAAAAGCTAGGGCATGCCACTTTCTATAGTTACAACAATAGTTACTGAATTTAAAAACTTTATTCTATTGGACTCTCCTAGAAATGAGAACTAAAAAGTGCCTGAGAGATGATTTCATCCAACCTCCTTGTTTATAGATGAGAAAACAGTTTCAGGGAGGATCTAAGTAAACAAGACTTTTTATTTGTCAATGCCAGACCAAATTTAGATCTCAGGTTCCAAACTATTCATAAATGTTAAGTTTTTGAGCTTATTCTGTCAAGGCCTAATTCAGAAACTAATAGCTTGGATATACTTTTGTTCATTAAAATAAATCTAGAATACCATATGAATGTATTACTTAAAAAGGTAACATTTAAATTAAAAAATATCTAAAACCTTGTTGAAGGGCATTGTCATATTGTCCTTGTATGAAGATGTTTTTTGTTCTTACAGGTAGAAAGGAATTTATTTATTTCTAACAAAATGATAATTTTTTGAAAACCAAGTCTTACATTAAAAAAATCAAGGCAACAAGTTAATGAGACAGGTTAATTATCCAAATTTTTCTTAGTATTGTTTTCTCTGCAGTGCTATGGTATCTTTGGGCCAATATGGTGTCTGTTTATTAAAGCAGTTTTGGGAACTTTGTGTTGAACTATGTCTTTGCTTCCCCATAAATTTTTATTAATATGTATTACCGTACTAAATTTTATGTTGTCAATTTATAAAAGCTTTCATGCACATTCTCAAAATAAGCTTTCTGCTCTTATCTGCATGTAGAAGCATGTCTAAAGAACTAACAGTGGTCTGTTCCATATAATTTTATGTAAATTTAACTATTTTATCACTTAGGGTATCTATTTAAAAAGTTTATTGCTAATTTGTACCTTTTGCAAATGTCATATGTGAAAATATTTATCTTTTGATTTTGACTAACAGTGGGCCTTATCTATTGATAAGCAGGAGAATGTTCGTATGATATTTGTGCTTTATATCAGAGTATTATCAGAGCATTATATTTGACTTTTTATTTTGATATAACTTCAAACTTACAGAAAACTTTCAAGAATAGTAAAAGTAACTCCTGTAAACCTCTTGTGTTTTCATTTTGGTTAGTAACAAATCCTGTAAACCCTTCAGCCAGATCCACCAGTTGTTTACTTTTTGCCCTGTTTGCTTTATCATTCTGTCCACCTGTTTGTGTATTTTTTGAACCCTTTGAAAATAAGGCGCAACATCATTCCTTTACTCCTAAATAATGCATTGTGTAGTTATGCAGAAGAAGGGCATTCTCTTGAGTTACCACAGTACAGTTATCAAAGCTAGAAGATTTAACATTAATACCATGCTGTCTAATCCAAAGTTCAAATACAGATGGTGACAATTTTTTCAAGTATGTACATTCTAGAAACATTTTTTTTTGTTCTAGAATCCATCCAGTATCATATATTACATTTAGTTTAAGTGTCCTTTAATATAGAATAGTTCTAAGGCCTTTTAAAATTTTTTCTTATTTTTTAATTTAGCATATTATGGGGGTACAAGTGTTAAGGTTATGTATATTGCCCATGCCCCCCTCCCCCCTCGAGTCAGAGCCTCAAGCGTGACCGTCCCCCAAACATTGCACATCTCACTCATTGTGTTTGTATATACCCATCCCCTCCTTCCCCTCCAACCTGCCCAACACCCGTTAAATGTTATTCCTATATGTCCACTGAGGTGTTGATCTGTTAATACCAATTTGCTGTGAGTACATGTGGTGCTTGTTACTCCATTCTTGAGATATTTCACTTAGTAGAATGGGTTCCAGCTCTATCCAGGAAAATACAAGAGGTGCTATATCACCGTTGTTTCTTAAAGCTGAGTAGTACTCCATGGTATACATATACCACATTTTATTAATACACTCATGGGCACTTGGGTTGTTTCCACAACTTTGCATTTGTGAATCGTGCTGCTATAAACATTCGAGTGCAGGTGTCTTTTTCATAAAGTGACTTTGATCTTTTGGGTAGATGCCCAGTAGTGGAATTGCTGGATCAAATGGTAGATCTACTTGTATCGCTTTAAGGTATCTATCTCCATATTGCTTTCCACAGAGGCTGAACTAGTTTGCAGTCCCACCAGCAGTGTAGGAGTGTTCCTCTCTCTCTGCATCCATGCCAACATTTATTGTTTGAGGACTTTTTGATAAAGACCATTCTCCCTGGAGTTAAGTGATATCTCATTGTGGTTTTAATTTGCATTTCCCCGATGATTAGAGATGTTGAGCATTTTCTCATATGTTTGTTGGCCATTATTCTGTCTTCTTTTGAGAAGTTTCTGTTCATGTTCTTTGCCCATTTTTTGATAGGGTTGTTTGATTTTTCTTGCTGATTTTCCTGAGTTCTAAATAGATTCTAGTTATCAGCCCTTTATTGGATGTGTAGCTTGTGAAAATTTTCTCCCATTCTCTGGGTTGTCTGTCTGCTCTCTTGACAGTTTCTTTGGCTATGCAGAAGCTTTTTAATTTGATCAGGTCCCATTTACTTATTTTTGTTGCTGCTGTGATTGCCTTTGGGGTCTTCTTCATAAATTCTTTGTCTCGGCCAATGTCTAGAAGAGTATTTCCAACATTTTCCTCTAGAATTCTGATAGTTTCACACCTAAGATTCAAGTCTTTTACCCAGTGTGAGTTGATTTTTGTGAGAGGTGAAAGGTGTGGGTCTTGTTTCAGTATTCTACATGTGGCTATCCAGTTTTCCCAGAACCATTTATTGAATAAGGATTCTTTTCCCCAGTGTATGTTTTTTTTCTGCTTTGTCGAAGATTAGTTGGATGTATGAGGATGGTTTTATATCTGGGTTCTCTGTTTTGTTCCACTGGTCAATGTCCCTGTTCTTGTGCCTGTCTCTAGCTGTTTTAATTAATATAGCCTTGTAGTATAGTTTGAAATCTGATAAATTGATACCTCCTATTTTGTTTTTATTGCCTAGGATTGATTTTGCTATACGGGGTCTTCTCTGGTTCCATATGAAGCGTAAAATTAGTTTTTCTATATCTGTGAAAAATGATGGTGGCATTTTGATAGGGATCACATTGACTCTGTAGGTCACTTTGGGTAGTGTAGACATTTTAACAATGTTGATTCTGCCGACCCATGAGCATGGTATATTCTTCTACTTGTTTACATCCTCTGCTATTTCCTTCTTCAGTGCTTCATAGTTCTTCCTATAGAGGTCTTTTGCCTCCTTAGTTAATATATTCCTAGGTACTTAATTTTCTTTGTTGCCTTTTTGAAGGAATTGAGTCTTTGAGTGAAAGTCTCACTTTGACTGTTGTTGGCGTATATGAATGCCTCTGATATCTGTGTATTGATTTTGTATCCTGAGACTTTACCTAATTCATTTATTAATTCAAGAGTCTCTTGATTGAATCTTTGGGGTTTTCTAGGTATAATATCATGTCATCAGCAAAGAGTGAGAGTTTGATCTCTTCTCCTCCCATTTGGATGCCCTTAATTCCAGTCTCTTGTCTGATTGCTGTAGCAAGGATTTCCAGCACTATGTTGAATATAAGTGGAGATAGTGGGCAACCTTTTCTTGTTCCAGTTCTAAGTGGGAATGCTTTCAATTTTCCTCATTCAGTATGATATTGGCTGTGGGTTTGTCATATATGGCTTGTATCATTTTTAGGTAAGCCCCGTCTATACCAATTTGTTGAGTGTTCTTATCATAAAAGGGTGTTGAATTTTGTCAAATGCTTTTTCTGCATCTATTGAGAGGAGCATACGGTGTTTGTTTTTGCTTCTGTTTATATGATAAATTACATTTATAGATATGCGTATGTTGAACCATCCCTGCATCCCTGGGATGAAGCCCACTTGGTTGTGATGAATTATTTTCTTGACAAGCACCTGGATTCGCTTGGCTAGGATTTTGTTGAAAATTTTGCGTCTGTATTCATAAGGGATATTGGTGTGTGTAGTTTTCTGTTTTTGTTGCATTTTTTCCTGATTTTGGTATCAGGGTTATGTTCACTTCATAAAATGTGTTGGAGGGAGGATTCCATCCTTCTGGATGTTGTAGAATAATTTCTGCAGGCTAGGCACCAGTTCTTTGTAGGTGTGGTAAAATTCAGGTGTTGAAACCATATGGTCCAGGACTTTTCTTTTTAGGAAGGTTTTTTTAATTGCTGTTTCAATGTCAGTACTTGATATTGGTCTGTTCAGGAATACTATTTCTTCCTGGTTGAGCCTAGGGCGGCTGTGTGTTTCTAAGAAATTGTTCATTTCCTCCACATTTACCAGTTTGTGTGCATAGCAGTTTTTGTAGTATTCATAAATTATATCTTGTATCTCCATGGCATCCATTGTAATTTCTCCTTTATTGTTCCTGATGGAGCCTATTAGAGATTTTTCTTTTCTGCTTTTCATTAGTCTAGCCAAAGGTGTGTCAATTTCATTTATTTTTTCAAAGAAGCAACTTTTTGTTTTGTTAATCTTCTGTATGGTTTCCCTGTTGTCAGTTTCATTTAATTCTGATTTGATCTTAATGATTTCATTTCTTCTGCTGGGTTTGGGGTTGGTCTGTTCTTCTTTTTCCAGCTCATTGAGATGATTCATTAGGTTGTCTATTTGTGATCTTTTCAACTTTTGGATATAGGCATTTATGGAAATGAACTTTCCTCTGAGTACTGCTTTAGCTGTGTCCCACAGGTTTTGGTAACTTTGTGTCTCCTTTGTCATTGAGTTCAAAGAATCTTTTGATTTCCATCTTCATTTCCTCATTTATGAAGTGATAATTCAGCAGAAGGTTGTTTAGTTTCCATGACTTTGTGTAGAAATGAGCGTTCCTATTAGGGCTGATTTCTACTTTGATTCCATTGTGATCTGAAAAGATACATGGTATGATTTCTATTTTTTAAAATTATTTGAGACATTCTTTGTGTCCTAGGATATGGTGAATCTTAGAGCATGACTCATGAGCTGATGAGAAGAATATATATTCAGTGGTTTTGGGGTAGAATGTCCTGTAAATGTCAGTCAGGCCCATTTGTTCTAGAGTTCTGTTTAAGTCCATTATTTCTTTGTTGATTTTCTGTTTGGAGGATCTGACCTGTCCTGTCAGTGGGGTGTTAAAGTCTCTGACTGTTATGGTGTTGTTGTTTATGTGTTGTTTAGATCAAGTAGAGTTTGCTTTATGAATCTGGGTGCACCTAGGTTGGGTGCATATATATTTAGAATTGTTATGTCTTCTTGTTGAACTGTACCCTTCAGCATTATATAGTGACCTTCTTTGTCTTCTTTGTCTATTAGTTTTGTTGATTTAAACACTAAGTTATCTGTAATCAGCACCACCACGCCAGCTTTCTTTTGGCTGAAATATTGTTTGCTTGAAATATTGTTCTCCACTCCTTTACCTTTAGTCTAACTGCATCCTTGCAGGTTAGATGTGTTTCCTGAAGGCAGCAGATACTTGGCTTGTGTTTTTTTATCCATTGGGCCAGCCTATGTCTCTTGAGTGGGGAGTTTAAGCCATTCACATTTATTGAGATTACTGATAGGTGGGGCAGATTTCTGTTCATTATGTTGGGTTGAACTTTGTTGCTTTGTTTTCTCTCTTGAGCCATTGTGGTTTCTTAAAAATTTTCCTTGATCTTGATATTTTCAAAGAGTACAGGCTAATTATTTTATAGAATGTCTATTTTAGTTTTGTCTGATGATTCTTACTGATTTATGTATTTTTGACAGGGACTTCACAGACGTGTTGTTAGATCCTTCTCAGTGTATCATGTCAAGAAACACTTATGTATTTGTTTTAACATTGGTGACTTTAGTTTTGTTCATGTGGTTAAGGTGATTTCTTTCAGGTATTTCCTTCATAAAATTACTCTTTTCCCCTTTGTAGTTAATTACCTACAGGGAGATACTCTGAGACTATATTAATATTGTTTTTGTTTTTTTTTTAAATCACATACTCACTAGTTTTAGCACCCATTGATAATTTCTACTGATATAATTATTTCTGTATATGTTAGTTGACATTTTATACTAAGGGAGAGCTTTTTCTCCCTTATATATTTGTTCATTGACTTGTTAGGATAGACTTCTTTTTTAAAAATAAATGTATTACAATCTATTCCTATCATTAATTTTTTGGTGTTCAGATTGTCTCAGATGTGGACAGTGGAGGCCCCTCCAGCCTGGCCCTTTGTGCCCTTTGGCGTGCACCCACCCTTCTTTGAGTGCTTGCTTGCTGGGGCGACAGAATGTTTCAGCTTATCTTGTCTTTGCCCTGCCTCAACCCTAGAATCAGCTGAAGTCAGGTCAGCCAAGGATTTCAGTGATACCCTTTCTGCCTTTGTGGCTTCCTCCTCTCCAGGATTTTGTTTCTCTCTCTCTAGCCTCTGTGTTGGCCCCAGGCTCCGTCCTCTGTCTCCTCAGGCCATAAGACGTGGTTTTCTGACTGTGTAGCTACTCTGTGCCGGTGGCCTGGGGTGTTCTCTCGGGTGAAACCGAGTGTTCACTGCTGAGTGAGTGACTTTGAAGTTTTCTAAAACAGA